GGGCTCCAGAGAGAAGTCCTGGCCCCCTCACGCCCTTAAACTATGCAGAAACTGGGAATAAAGCTACAAGATTGCTATTTAAGGTTACTTTAATTTTATTTATAAATAGACCGAGTTTTTGCTGCACTGGTGCCTGTGCCGCTGATGCGAAGGGCCTATCCCCTCTCCCCCCCCCTCCGTCCTGGATCAACCTTTGCGTCTATGCACTGCGTTAAGGATTTCCCGATATTCTGACACTTATCACCACTGAGACTTCAAAAGTGTTTCTTGTAAGGCAGGCTGCCCTTCTAATTTACTGAGTTATTGCTGATTGATTGAATACACTATTTTTAACTTTTATGAGTCAAAAGATGAGGGAAGAGGGAGAAGAAAGGAAACGGTAAAAAACGAATTTTAAGAGATGGACCGAGATCGTTGGTGTGGACCCAGCGGGGGAAGGGGAGGCGGCATGGAAGAGGGGAAGATTGGGGCTTCCAGTGTAGTGACCAACAGAGTGGGCAGGGAGGAAAGGGTGGGGCGAAAAATCGCTCAAATCCCTCCTCCCCCTCCTCTCCCCTTTTCAAGGAGACCGCGTTGGATCCGCCTATGGCCGAAGTTAATCATATCATTGTTTTAGCATGTGTGATGGTACAACGAGATCGGAAATGGTCAGTTTTCCGGTTCATCGAATTAGGTTTTGTGCCCGTGGACAACTGGATTCTGCAGAGCGCGAATGTTTCGCGCTCTCGTTCACCCAGAAGAACGCCACAGCTACCGATGCTGCATTGCATCAGTGCCATGTGTTCCGATGTCAACTTCCTGAGGCGGTGAGTTTTCGTTTCTTTCCTTGCATTTCTCTGAAGTGAAGGAGATTTCTTAGCACTCCTTCAGTGAGCCGTTTGTAGCACCAGGTTGACCTTGGAAGCCTAAAAGGCAAAGGCCCGAGAGGTTACAGCATAAGAGAATAGTATGAGAGAAGGCAAGAGTGAAATAAGACGTTTCGGTCCATTAAATTTTTTTCTTTCCTTTCATTTCTCTGGGGTGAGGGAGGAATTTTCCTCATCCCATTGATTAGTACTCCCTCAGTGAGCCTTTTGCAGCAACCAGATTGACCCTTAAAGCATAAAATGCAAAGATGTGATAGATTACAGCATGAGATATGAGAGAAGACAAGAACGAGGTAAGACTTTTCGGTCCATTAAGATAAGAATGAGATTAAGCCTTAAATAGAACTCAGTGAGTTCCAAATCGCTCTTTTTGCAGGCCGGTAAAGCACTGCTGAGTTTTGCGAATGCTTTTCGCAACAATAGTGGCAGTAGTAGTAGTAGCAGCACTGTTCTGCCGAGGCCAATCCCAACGCGAAGGACGAGCAATGCAACTGCTGAGGACGAGACAGCTTCGAGTCTCGAGGGAGCGTTCAGTTCCGGTGGCGAAGAGGATTTCCAGTTCGATGCCTTCCTCGAAATGAGGGTTCGTCGTCTCACATTTTTACAATATCGTAAGATATCATTAAAAACGAGTACTGTGATGTATATGGATTTCTCCTGGGATGGTTCCCACTGGATTTTTGCAGATATAGATCACGCTGCTGGTGTTATGTTTTTTAATTTTTCCCTTTTCGTAGATTCTACTTTTTTTTGTAGATTTCAGTTATGCCTCAGGCGGAAAAACTGGCTTTCGTACTTTCTTGTTATTCGTTATGTTTGTGTGTGTGTAGGTGTATGTATGTATGTATGTGTATATGTATGTATGTTTGTGTATATGCTTGCATGTGCTTGTGTGCGTGTTGTGTGTGTGAATAGAAAGATGTGTGTATGAGAGCTTATGGTTTTGTACGGTGTGCACCTGTGGATGTGTGATGTGTGTACTTATGTGTGTATGTGTGTATTTCCGAATATATTTTACGTATGCTTTGTGTGTATGTGTGTGTGTGTGTTTGTTTCAGGAGTGTTATTACAATTTGGTTAGCATGCGTCCAAAAAGTGTTCAAGTAGTGTTCGCGCATTGTGTAATTTCAGGAAGAAGACGCGAAACGTGGCTTTATGATATGTCCGCAGGAGAAGAATTGTTTTAAGCTAAGAAGAGATCGTGAGAAACGAGTGGTCGTCGTGCTGCAGCAAACTGCCGGGCCAAAAATTTTGACCGTTAAAAAGTGAGTAACCGTTGTCTGTTTCTTGCTTTTTTTTGGATAGATATGAACTGCCCGTTC